AGAAGACTTATCTAAACAGTTGGTACTTGACCTGGAATAATCAGTAGAATTTCAAAGCGTAGAGATGGAGGAAAGGTGCTTTCTAGATAGAGGGAGGAGCCTGAGGAAAGGTCCACAGGTAGGAAAGACACAAGAGCCTGAGAACTGCAAGACGATGAGGTGGCTGAAATGTGGAGTGGGTGCGGGTCCACCAGAAATCAAGGTTGGAAGGTCAGAAACGAAGTGGAGAATCCTGCTGAGAGTGGGTTAGCATGAGCATGAAGCAAACATGGCTGAGGCAGGCCAGAGGCTGAGAGCAGACTCCTCGGGAAACATCAAGGTTGGATGTTTAAAACATCCTGCCATATTTGGTGAAGAGAGAAAATTAAAATTCTCCAATTGTCATGAGGTACTTACAGGGTGGCAAGATGGGATGTTTTTGTTTATTACCAAAGGGGCTAAAGAAGAACAGCTTCTTGAGATCTGAAGGCATTTAAGAAGGCATTTTGTCTATTCTCCTGGCTCAAAGTAAGAGTATACTAAAACTCTGATAATTATCTGACTTTACTTTACAAAAGATTTTTAAATAACAAAAGTGACACCTTTCATTTGCAGAAAAATTGGAAAATATAGATAAATGAAAAGAAGATAGTAAAAATCACCTATAATCCTATCACTCTATCATTTTTTTAAAAAAATGAATTATTGTAGACTTTTTTTTTTTTTTAGAGAGAGGGGGAGAGAGAAAAACATTGATTGGTTGCCTCCTATATGTACCTTCACTGGGGATGGAACCTAAAACCTAGGTACCCTGACTGGGAATCAAACCCACAACCTTTCGGTGCATGGAACAACGCTCCAACCAACTGAGCCACCTGGACAGGGTCACTCTATCATTTTTATGGTTATATTTGTGAGAGAGAAACAGAATAGTGGTACAGTGTGGGATCTGAATAAAACTATTTCAGTTCAATTTCTAGCTCTTCCACTCAATTATTATGACCTTGGGAAATTTATTTAATCTCCTCCTGCCTCAGTTTCTTCATCATTAAAATGCGTATATTAAGAGTCCACTTAATGACTATAGTATGACAGTTAAGTGAGTTAACACATGTACATTGCTTAGAATAGTTCCTGGTGCATAGTAAATACTCAGTAAATTTTGGCTGTTAGAATTAGATTTTTAGTGGAAGTATAATTTACATGATCTTATAGTGGTAAAAAATTAAAAATTTAATGGTGGTAAAAGTTGGTGGAACTGAAAAGGAACAAAGAGTAGATGGTGAGAGATATTCTGAGGAAAAGGTTGATAGAATTTGCTAAAGAGAAGAAGGAGACATAGCACTAAAGGGTCCGGAGTTGCGCTGTTCGGGTGTGGCTGCCCCCAGCCACCTGTGGCTGTTAGCACTGGAAACGTGGCTAGTGCAGCTGAGGACACGAAATTGTAATTTTTAAAAAATCTTAATTCATTTAAAGTTCAAGTTAAAATGGAAATTCGGTTCCATTACTGAAAAATTATTACCTGTGTTTGGAACAACTTGAGGATGTGAGCCTACTTTCTTAACCAAGTTTTATGAACTCTAAATTGTTGTAAAATATTCCCGTGTGCGAATTTAAAAATTTAAAAATTCACAATTTAAAAATTCACTCTCCTGCTGAGAGGCGGTTGGGTGTCCTGTGTTTGGCCATTTCAAACAAGGCTGCTTTGAACATTGTGGAACTGTCACCTGGTGAGCAGGTCCACATTTCTTGAAGGTATAAGCCTAGAGGTGGGTGCTGGGTTGTTGGGTGTGCCCACATTCATCTTGACAAAAGAATGCCAGGTCGTTTCCCACGCGAGAGAGCTGCCTTAGCTTACTCATCACTGACCCCAGAGGCTGAGACTCCATGAAGGCCCTTGGGCCTGTTAGCCCCAGGCATGCTAAGCGAGGGCTCCACTGTCCCTTGGTAAATGATGC